ATATATATATATATATATATATATATATATATATATATATATATATATATATATATATATATATATATATATATATATATATATATATATATATAGTTATATATATATAGTTATATTCCCCTAATCAATAAACCAACGCGAGTAACTAGAGAAAGTGCAACATCTTTAGATCAAATTATTACAAATGATTTCGTAAATGTTAAAATAAGGACAGGTATATTTAAATCTGACATTTCTGATCACTTCCCTATTTTTATTCTATCGCAAAAATGCATCGACTATGATGCTCTTAGTGATAGAAAAAAATTAATTACAACACGATTAATAAACGACGCTTCCATCAAAAATTTTCATAAACTTCTTACTGGTGTCAACTGGGACACCCTACAACTAAATCTAAATGCCGATAAAGCATATGATATATTTTTAGCTGAATTTCTTAATCATTATAATAAAGCCTTCCCGGAAGTTATTAAAGTTATCAAAACAAAAACACTTTTAAACCCTTGGATCACGAGGGGCATTCATAAACCCTCAAAAAAAAAACAACGTTTATATAACAAGTTTCTTAAAAAAAAACTCTTAAAAATGAAACTAATTACAAAACCTATAAACGGCTATATGAATCAGTTTTAAAACGCTCAAAGAAACATTACTATTCGGAACAATTATTTAAACACAAAAATGATTCGAAAAAAACATGGCAAATTATAAAGGAGGTAATCGGTAAAAAACGTTTATTCGGTAATTTACTTCCGAAAAATCTTAAAGTTAATAACAATTGTATTGTAAATAAATCCTTAGTGGCCGAAACACTTAATCAGTTTTTTGTAAATATAGGTCCTATTTTATCATCAAATATAGCAACTTCTCAAATACACTTTAAGTCTTACATAACCTCAAACAACATTAGTGTTATGTCTAATCCCAAACTTACGGAAAATGAATTATAGACGCTCTTTGTTAAAGCCCCAAAAAAGTGTAGGTTTCGATTCTATAAGTAGTAATGTCGTTATTAAATCGATAAAATACATCACAATTCCATTATTACATGTTTTTAATTTATCTTTAAAACATGGTGTTTTTCCAGAAAACCTAAAAATTGCAAAAATCATTCCAATTTTAAAATCAGGCGATCCTTCTGAAGTTGCAAATTATCGTCCAATCTCAATTCTTAATTGTTTTTCTAAAATATTAGAGCGAGTTATGTATAATAGGCTTTATTCTTTTTTAAATGTAAATAATATTCTTTACCATAAACAATTTTGATTCAAATCTGGCCATTCCACCGATCATGCAATCATTCACCTTGTTCAGGACATATTTAAATCGTTTGATGAAGGCAAGTATACCTTAGGTCTTTTTATCGATTTAAGTAAAGCTTTCGATACAGTCAATCATCAAATACTTCTATCGAAACTCAAAAGTTATGGTATAAAAAATACTAACTTGTCCTGGTTCGAGAGTTATTTGACCAATAGGAAGCAGTATATAGTTTATGATGAAGGAAAAACTAATTATGAGACAATTAAATGTGGTGTTCCTCAAGTATCAATTTTAGGGCCTCTTCTATTTCTTGTTTATATAAACAATTTAAATAAATTTTCTAACTTTTTAAATACAATTTTATTTGCAGATGATACCAGCTTGTTTTATTCCAATAAAGATATCAATATATTATTCCAAACATTAAACAAAAAACTAGACAAACTAACCCAATGGTTTAAATCAAACAAGTTATCTTAAAATATCACTAAAACAAAATACACTTTATTCCATCGCCTACATAAAAAATCAGATATTCCCTTAGAACTCCCAGACCTTTTTATTGACAATCAATTAATAAAGAGAGAGCAATCAATAAAGTTTTTAGGCGTGTTTCTAGGCGAAAATGTAACCTGGAGGGAACACATAGGTGTAGTTGAAGATAAAATATCAAAAAATTTAGGTATAATGTACAAAGCAAAGCAGTTATTACATCGATCTTGTTTAAAAATCATTTACTTTTCTTTTATTCATTGCTACTTAAGTTATGCGAACATTGCTTGGTGTAGCACTAACGCGACGAAAATAAAAAAATTGCTTAGCAAGCAAAAACAGGCTATAAGGATAATTTCAAACGTAGATCGTTTTTCACACACACAAATACTTTTTAATGAACTCAATATCCTAAATGTATATAAACTAAACCTCTATCAAGTTCTTATTTTCATGTTCAAAGTTGATAAAAATATACTACCAATCTTATTTTATTCAATTTTTGAAAAAATAAATCACATATACCCTACAAGATTTTCAAAATACAACTACATTCAATCCAAAATTTATTATTCCGCTACCAAATTCTCTATTGAAAACCGAGGACCAAAGTTGTGGAACATAATATTAAATAATGAACTGAAAACTAATTATTCTCTAAATCAATTCAAAACAAAACTTAAGCAATTACTTTTGTTAACTGAAAATGAATTAAATTTTTTCTAATAAAATTTCTTTATATTGGAAATCAATAATTAATAGTTAATTAATTAATTACTTTAAATTATTAATACATAATTAATCAACAATTGTACATATATTTTTATCATTTAAATGATAATTTTCTTTTTGAGAAATTTATTTTTTATTTTTGCGTTATTTATTAATCTTTTACTTTTATTTTATACTGTTTATTTGCTTTTACTTAATTGGCAATGAAAAGTATGATAAATATAACTAAATAAGTTAAACTATAAAATGCTCTACCAATAAAATGTTTATATATAAAATCATATCTTCTTATTTTTCAAACCAAGTCTTAAATGTTATTTTTGTAATTTTAATATTTTATTAAATTTTGTTTCTTTTATTTTACAAAACAATTGTTAAATCTTATTCTTTGAAAAACTATAAATTTTAAACGATATGCGATATATTTAAATTTTCTTTTATAATATAAATCAGAGATATATACATTGAAACTGTATTTTATTGTTAAACTATATTTTGTCTAGTAATGACGCATTTTTTGGGGCTTAATGATAAGACTAAATTTGTCTTCTTCTAGCCCCGGTCATGTAATTATTTTCTTTATAAGTTACGACTGTAAATTTTTTTTTATCGGCAAAAAAAGTGTAAATAAAAAAAATATATATATAACATACAAGTTCGAAAAAACAAGTTTTAAAAAATTATTACCTTATTCTTTATTAATCGCGAGGTTAGAATTATTTTGTTCTACCTCCACATTTTTTTGTTTCGAGATGAAACGATTTAAAAAATAAAAACTTTAGGAGACGGCATATAAAAAGATTTTTATTACTTAGGTTTTAATATAGTAGAAAAACATTATTTTGAGGTACATTACAAAATTAATAACTCATAAATTACAATTAATAATAAAGTACAATAAATTAATAATTTTTTTCAAAAAGTGGAGATAGAACAAAATAATTCTAATCTCGCGTAATGTCATTGTCTCCATTAACATATTGTGTGAGGAAAGATTTGCAAGAGTCTCACGGAGTTTGAAAGATCATGTTCAGTAACGTGCTCACAACCGTTCCTCATTCGTTCTAACAAATCGTTATTTCTGATCGGAGCTATTTGTCCTCTTCTAGTATTCTTAATTTTCGAGAACGTCTCTTCACAAGAATTTAGAAAAGGTGAGTATCGGGGTAAAAAACAAATTTCATAGGGATAACTATCATAAAAATCTAATAATGAATGATGAAACTTAACGTTGTCCTTCACCAAGGTAAACTCTTCTTCCTAAAATACTTTTAAGCGTATTTAAGAATCCTTTAAAGATTTTTGCTGTCACCCCTATGCCAATTATTGCTTCACAGTGCACTATGTTTAAACAATTTAATGCTAATATCATAGTTATTTTACGGCCTCTTGATGATAACACACGTTGATTTGGGGTCTTTCCTCGGAGACTGTATCCATGGTTTCTTATCATATGAAGATTGAACGGACTTTCATCGATGTAAATGATATTTCTGTAGCGTTGCTGCAATGTCAAGTTTAAATACCATGAATGTTTTTCTTTCTTCTTTTACCTCTGCAGTATTGCGTCTTTCACTAATGGGTTTTAATATTTTGTATGTATAATTCAATTTTTTTAACCATCGCCATAATGTAGAGACATTGACATCAAGTCCTAGTTCTACCTTTAACTCCTGTAGATTATAGTTTTTTTTATCTCCAATCAATTTGTGTAGCTTATATCTTATTTCCTCAGTACAACCTGACTGTCGAAAACCAGCTCTAATACCAGGATTGATATTACCTGCTGATAAATTTCGATGGACCAGGCGTCGTATTGAAGTCTCACTTCTATGCACGAGTTCCGATACTTCTTTCACACTTTTCCCTTTGTTAATTACAAGATTAATGATCAAATTTCTTACTTCAGCATTAATCTGAGCATTGTCTTCGTGCGTTATTCATTTTAAATTTTTAAAAAATTTAAGAGAAAACGGGCTTAAATTGTACATAAGGAAGTTAAATTAAATAAAGCAATAAAAACAAAAATGTTTATCATGATAAAGAAAAACCACCAGATTAAATGCAAACTGCCAGATTAAATGGAAAAACCCGCCAGATTTGTGCAAAAATCCACACGATTAAATGCAAAAACCGGTAAGCGAATGGGTACGCTATATGGATTTATAGCGCACTTGCCTCAAATTTTCTGTTTCCTTTCAAGACTTTCAAGGTCTTAAAAGCGAAAAGTTCAAAGCAAATGAGTACGCGAGAAACTTAAAAGCGACGTAAAGCTTTTTTCCTTAACGAAACAAAAAACAACATTATGCGAGAGAAATTTAAAAATGTGATAGCTTAATCGTTAATAAGTTCAGTGAAAACTCACGGAACTTAGTAACTTAATTCCGTGACTTTTCACTGAATTTGTCAACTAATAATACTAAATTAATATTCAATTTTTCATGACATACGCAATTTTTCATTTCGCAATTTTTCATGACTTTCACATTTGTGACGAAACTGATTCGCTTTAACGGCAATTGACTGAGAAAATCATGTCGTTAAAGTCACGTTAAAAGAAAAACCCGTCGTCAATTGACTTACAAGAAAATGAAAACTAATAAATGGTAATGTTTCAAATATTGATGTTCCTCAATTAAATTATAAGATCAAAAGTTGTATTTTTGCATTAAATTTTTGGTATTAAAACCGTTTAAATCAATACGTTACTATATAATTTTTTTTTACAGTGAGATGATAAGATAAAACAGTGAAATGGTGAGATAACACAATTATCTGAACGATTTTCGAAAATCTGAAAATCTTGCTCTTGTCATGTTTTAAAGTACAAATTTTTTGATGGAGAATTGTGAAGTTATTCATCAGGGGTGGTTATTTATTAATATTGATAGTCCGCATTCTGTGTTAAAACGTAAATCAAAAGGACAGTGGAAGCAAAGATACTTTGTATTTTACAGAGAGCCTGAAAATGTTGATAAAATCATCTTAGCATGTTTTAAAAAAGAAGAGAATTTAAAGAATTTAACTCCTAAACACATTCTAAAACTATATCCAAAATATAAAATTGCAAAAATTTATAATTTTAAATCAAAAGAGCAAGTGTTGGAGGTTAACAACTTTGAAGAACAATGGTTTTTATCAGCTAGTGATATAAAAATTATTGATCTTTGGGCTATTCAAATACAAATGCAAACAAAATTAAATCAATATTTATCTGGACGTGTGTTTCAGGTATCTGGGGCTGTAAACAAGCACATGCAAAAGATTGGCGCAGCACAACAAAGATGTTTGTTGCAATTCACAAAATGGGGAGTCACATTAGCATTACAAGACTCCAGAGCTATACTATCAATGTGGCCACTGACTACTATTCGTAACTATGAATTTTCAGGACAATGTATTTTTTCTATTGAAGCTGGTCGTAAAGCTCCTATGGGAGAAGGGTTATTTACATTTTATACCAATATTGGTGAAGATATAGAAATGTTTAACACTATTGATAACTTTGTTCAGGAAAATTTAAATAAAAAAGCAATTATAAATTCAGAAAGTAGAAAAAATGATGAAATTTCTGAAACTTATGACAAACTTTATTTGGCAGCAACAGGTTTTGATTCAAGTCTTTGTAACCAAAGTAACAACAAGTATTCACATGGTTTTTCTACAAGATCATTAAAAAATTCAGAAAGCAGCCCCATATCAATATCTAAACCTCCTGACTATAATACGTTATTTAAAAATAAAGACAAAAATTCTTTAAAAATCCATGATGGATCATCTCAAGATTTATCAGGTAATAGATTTTATGATCATTTAAGTAACGCAGAAGTTAAAGAATCGTCTGATACAAAAGAATGCTATGATCATATAAATCAATTTAGTTCTACTAGAGTTAGTGAAAGCAGTTATGACACATTAATTCATAATGAGACTGGTTTTGTAAGTTTTTATATTTTATAAAAAATAGTTTAGTTCATTTATATAAAATACAAATAATATTTTCAAAAATGTTTTGTTATAAAAAAATTTTTTCAGTTATTTATTATTAGAGTTACAAAATTTTTATAATTCTAATAATAAATAATTTTTTCTTTTTAACCCTTTCAGTCCCAGAAAAAAAAAAGATTGTAAGTTAAATATCATAATCTATTTAAAAGCTATAAAATAAAAGTTAATTGTTAGAATTTCACAAATGGCTTATTCCATATCAAATCACCTAAAGGCTCCAAGGGTACCATCTCAGATTTGCTTTAAATTTTGACCACACACAGATCTTATGAAAAAAATAAATCCAGAAAATTTCAGCTTGATTGACGAATTTTTTCAAAAGTTATGATTGATTTAAAAATGACCAAAATCCAAAAAATTTGTGTATCAGGAGCTTACAGCAGGTTTTTTAGATTTTTGACAAATCATAACTTTTTAAATAAAGATGGTGATCATCTGAAATTTTGTAGAGTAATAGTTTTTTACCCGAATAATCCATTGTTGCAGTTGTTTTTGACTGACTTTTTATAGTTTTTGAGTTATTGTACTTTAAAGTTGCTAAATATTGCAACATTATAAATATTTTTGTGAACTTTAATGTGTTACAGTTTAATACTTACTTACTGAAAGTGGATTTTTTTGTTACCTTTGTGTACTTAGGGTCACCACTTGTTTGAATAATCAAAATTATGCATTAAAAATTAATTTAGAACATGCAGCAGCCTATTGAAAAATCACTTTTTTTAAAAATTATGATAAATTACATTGACTTTGCTGGCATAGAAAATAGCGTAAACAGTTGAAATAAATTATAAAACTTTTTAATGTTGAGGTTATATATATAGACAATCACCAAAAAAAATTTAAAGACCTATACTCTATCTTATGACATGATTGTAGACTTTTGAGAGTGATGATATTTTCAAAAGGAGAATGTTATTAGACTATGAGCTAGCATTAGGTCATAGTCTAATTATTAGTCATAGGGATGACAGTATTTTATTTATTTATCTTTGAATGAATATATTTAGTTTTCTTTTTAATGACATAATGTCTTATTTTGTACAAATAATAATGACATAATCAGTGTCTGATATTTGTTAGTTTCTTTGAGATTTAATATGTTTATGTCTTTTTTAAACTTTTTAGATAACTAATAAAAATAAAAAAATGGTAAAAAATGACAGAGAAATGTTGTGTGGGGAAAGTTTTAAATGAAGATTGCGACAAAACGTATTATCCTAGAATGATTAGAAGAATAAAACTAAAAGATATTGTGAACACAGATGTTGAAGTTTTAATTCAAAGAATTGGAAAAGCCTATATTTCTAGATATGAAGCGTCTCATATCTAGAAATATAGAAAGCATTAGAATATAGAAAGCAAAAAGTTAAAAAACTGGAAACAAGTATGACAAACCTAGTAGCATCAGCATTGGATATAGACCAAAAAATATATATACATCTGCGAAAAAGCAAAAGTGCATTAACTGTAATGATTTAGACAAACTTAATAAAGGCAATAAAGGAAAAAGTAAAAATCAGTTTGAATGAAGAAAAAGTTCAGTTACTAACATTAACTCCTGATAATTGGTCAGTTAAAAAAACTTGCAATGTATTTTAAAAAAGGACATCCTTTGGAGGATATTGTTAAGCAGAGAGTCATTGAAATATATGAATCTGACAAATACACTAGACAATGTCTAGGAAAAAAAAAGGTTAACAATAATAATATACTATATAATAATATATATATATATAATAACAATAATAATAATAAAACAATAATAATAAGATAAACAAAAACACTTAATATTAGTTCGTTTAAAAGAAATTCATTTGGAATTTAAGAAGTTATACCCTGAACACAAAGTTGAAATCAGCAAGTTCTGTGAACTAAAGCCAAAGTAGTGCCTTACTGTTGATAGTAGTGGAAGCCACTCAGTTTGTGTATGTTCTTACTATCAAAATGCAAAGTTGATGTGCTCTGCTCTTCCTAACAGCTATTTAATATATTACAAAGATTTAATGAAAGTATGTGTTTGTAATATAGATAGTCGAAACAGCATGTTTCATCTAGGTTCCAACTGCCCTGGTAAAATAAATTTGAAGACTTACTTGGAAAATGTGTTTGAAAAGAATGATGTTGATGATCAGATTACATATAAACAATGGGTGTCAACTGACCGAACTGCACTTATTACAGTCCAAACAAGCATTAGTGAATTTATTGAAACTTTAAGTGAAACTTTGTATGACCTTTGTCACCACCACTTCACAAAGAAGCACAGTCTTCCTACTTATCAGAGGCAAAACAAACATTAGACCAATATACCTGCATTATTCTGATGGATTTTGCAGAGAACTATAGTTTTTTTGTTCAAGATGCTATACAAGGGTTTTACTGGCAAGCCGATCAATCTACCTTACATCCATTTCCTGTTTATTACAAAGATGAAAAAGATCACCTTAAATGTGAATGCTATTGTTTAATTTCTGACCATCTTTGTCATGACCAATCAGCAGTCCATTGTTATCTTACAAAATTGCTCCCTATGGTCAAAATCAAACTACCCACAGTGAATAAAGTTAAATACTTCAGTGATGGTGCTGTGTCGCAGTATAAAAACTACAAATGTCTAATAAACTTAATTTATCACATTATAGATCACCAAATAAATGCTGAGCATCACTTCTTTGCTACGTCACATGGCAAAAGTCCATGTGATGGAATAGGAGGTACTATAAAAAGAGAAGCAGCAAAAACTAGTCTACAAGCAGCAATTACAAATCAGATTCTCACACCACAAAATCTGTTTAGATAGGCTCAAAAAAACGTTCAAACACAAAAACAAAGGTGTTAACATATTTTATCTTTCAAGTGATATTACCCAGCAAACATGTCCTATTGGGGCCCATATGGGTTTGCCAAATGGGCCCTATGTGGGCTTTATATATGGGCCCATGTGGACTAGCCCTAGAATACAAAATTTGTATTCAAGGGCTAGCCCACATGGGGCCTATTTAGGGTCCATATATGAAGTTAAAAAAGCGTTAAATTCCATCTTATTTTCTAAATTTAAATGCCATCCGATTGTGCACGCGATGGCATGAAGTACTTCGCTAGGCAATTAGCTGGAGGAGTATAAATCACAATATCAAACTTACTTTATGAAAACCCCTTTACGCTTCTTAAATGTAATTATGTCTCAAAGCTTTTCTCAAGTTTTAAACTAAATTCAAATTGACTCTTTTTCGAAAAATCTTCTTTTTATTTAAAGTCAAATCGTTTTAAAGACTCCTTAATAGTGCTATTAATATCCATGTATTAATGGTAGTAAAAGAGTTTTAAATTGTATTTGAAAATTTTTTTTTTTTATGTATAAAAAGGTTTTGAAAGTGTATACACTATTTGAGTTTTTATAAACCCACAAGCAAAAATATAAATAAAATGACAGCTCTTGCAGAGGTCTATCACATATTTTGAGTCCTCTTTAAACTCAGTTAAAAAAGGTTTGAATTTACTTGTTTATTTAAAATTATTACTTTTTCTATTTTATTATTTAAATACTCTGGTGTAAATTTAAATGTATATTACTGTTTACCTTACTATTTCAATGTTTGATTTCCTGTTTTACTTCTATAAAGCGTTAGACTCACATGCCATATATATGAATACATATTAAATTATATATATTTAAATTAATAATAAATAAATAATTATTCAGAAAATTATAAAAAATTTAAATAAAAAAAAAAAATGAAACCCATGTGCGTCCCACATATGCAGCCCATATGGGCTGCCCACTTGGGCCCTAATTCATGCCCAGCGACAATTTTCCTTGGGCAGGATGTGGGCAACCCAGCTGGGTTCCATAAAACTGTCCAGTTGGGCCCCATGTGGGGCCCAATGTGACTTGTTGGCTGAGTAATAAACATGAAACAACTTTTAATCTTCCGAAATGATATGAAGGGATGCACACAGTTCTGGGAACAAGAAGCTATCACTATTTTGTACCAGATGGAGAGAAATTTTTTTTAGAATCTCTAGTGATACTGTCTACAAAGAATCTCTAGTGATACTGTCTATGACACTCATGTTTAGTTTGATTTAAAAAAATCCTTCAAATTTTCAATCCGGGAAATATATTGCATGCTTTTATGATGAAGAATGGTACATAGGGCTTGTGGTTGATATTTGTAATGAAAACCAAGACGTTAATGTGAAGTTAATGCAAAGAAACAAATTAAATTTAAAATGGACAAACGATGCACGATCAAGTCAGTGTTGGGTTTCATTTGACAAGATAATATGTCAAATAAGTGTTCCATTGATTAAAAGTATAAGTGCTCGTGACTATATTCTTGCTAGTAATGACTATGACAGTATTATGAGTTATATAAATCAGAGATAAGCTAATTAGTTTCGTGTATACATACTTTTTCTTTTAACTGATTATCTTACTCTTTAAATGCACTTTTTTACTGTATAATTTGTATAAAATTTGAAGTATAAATTTTATGTGGTAAGTGGTATTTTTTGTTCTCCTTTTAAAAATATCATCAAACTCAAAAGGTTACAATCATGTCGTTTGGTATTTAGAGTATATTTATTTCAACTGTTTATGCTACTTTCTATGCCAGCAAAGTTGATGTAATTTATCATAATTTTAAAAAAAAAAAAGTGATTTTTTATTAGGCTGCTGCATGCGCTAAATTAATTTTTAATGCATAATTTTGATTATTCTAACAAGTGGTGACCCTAAGTACACTAAGGTAACAAAAAAATCCACTTTCTGTAAGTAAGTATTAAACTGTAACACGTTTTAAATTTGTAAGTAAGCATTAAACTGTAAGTAATTCTGTAAGTGTATTAAGCTGTAATTATTTTTGTCACTGTAAGTAAGTATTAAACTGTATTTCTGTAAGTAAGTATTAAACTGTAAGTATTTC